CAATGGGAAGGAGGAAGGGGAGGAGGGGGAGGAGGGAGGCGGGAAGGGGAGGGGAGGAGAGGGAAGGGCAGGGGGAAGGAGGAAAAGGAGGAGAGGAAGGGCACAGGGAAGAAGGAAGGAGGAGAGGAAGAGAGGCAATGGGAAGGAGGAAGGGCAGGAGGGACGGGGAAGGGGAGAAAGAGGAGGGGCAGGGGGAAGGAGGAAGGGGAGGAGAGGAAGGGCACAGGGAAGAAGGAAGGGGAGGAGAGGAGAGGGAGGGGAAGAGGGGCAATGGGAAGGAGGAAGGGCAGGAAGGGGAGGAGGGAGGCAGGAAGAGGAGGAGAGGGAGAGGGCAGGGGAAGAAAGGAGTATCCCTGGTTCTTATAGGAATTCATTCAAGCCCATTCAACTGTGGCTTTTTTGACTGTTCATCAATTCTGGCTGGTCCATCTACTGGCTAGTGCATAGAATCTTCTCCATATCCCTAAGACACCCCAAAGACACGGAAAACCTTGCACAACCGACACCTTCCGACCCCAAGAGTGCCTGACCGGTTGTCAGAATAGGCATTCTGACCCCAGCTAGGCCACCCCAAGCCTAACCTCCAAAACTGGTCTCCCGCCTTTGGTCCCAACCTTGGAACAAGCTCATTCCCACCCTAAGACCTTATCCGGGCGTCTCGTTTCAAAAGCCACCAGGCTGCCCTTCTTTACATCCATACACAACATTGTACGGAGAGTCCTTGGCTCACGGCCGCAATTGGGAGCAGAACCTCTGTGGCTAAGCCAAGGTGGCCCTCGAGCCACGCCCAACTGGACGGTCATTTCCGTCACGGCGGTGAAATGAATCATGGCAGTCGTTAAGCGAATCGGGCCGCCGTTGGGTAAACCTCGCTTCCCTCACTGACTCTGCTTGTCGGAAGGGTGATCACGGGAGACCGCAACTGTCGTAAACGAACGCTGGCGTCCCAAAGTGTCCGAAGTTTGATCACGTGACTGCAGGGAATGCTGCAAAATGGGGCCAGGACCTGCCTTGGCTGTTTCCGATGCTGTGGTAACTTTGCATGGTTGCTAAATCAACGGTTATAAGCTGAGGACCACCTATACTGCATTCCAAAGCTTCCTTGGCCCCAAACGGAGCCCGGTTCCTCACCAAAGTTTTTCAGGCCGATGTAATTGATGACGGAGCCGCTGAGGTCGATGGCTTCCAAGGACTTTCCAATATACTCTAGAAAATCTACGCTTCCTTCCTCTTTCAAGTCCTCGCGATACCAATCCATTTGGTCCTGGAAACTAAAGCAGAATAAATCTGTTTTTCATGGGGGGGAGGGAAATATTAAAATCTCCTGATCTCAATACAGGTAGCAGTTGAAGGAGTTCGCCACCTAATAGTGAGACCCCCAAATATTGTGGTCAGGTGTGAATCCAGGTGATTGGAAGGGGGGAAAAGATACAGCCCTCCCACCATGCGCTTGTGGATATAACAGGCACCGCATACCGAATGGCCCCTTGCAGCTTCAGGACAAAGATGGCAGCTGCGATATCACCGCCATAACGCTCGTGCAGGTCGACGTCATACCTATGGGTGGAAAAGGTAAAAAAAAACAACTCCTTGAGAAATTCTCTGGTTATGGAACACTTCCATGTCGTGTGTGGACTTCAGCTCACAGAGTTCCCCAGCCTGCATGTTTGAAGATTCCTGGACTACAATTCCCAGAATTCCCCAGCCAGCATGCTTGAAGATGCCTGGACTACAATTCCAAGAGTTCCCCAGTCAGCATGCTTTAAGATGCCTGGACTATAATTCTCAGAGTTCCCAGCCAGCATGCTTTAAAATGCCTGGACTATAATTCTCAGAGTTCCCCAGTCAGCATGCTTGAGGATTCCTGGACTACAATTCCCAGAATTCCCCAGCCTGCATGTTTGAAGATTCCTGGACTACAATTCCCAGAGTTCCATATCCAGCATGTTTGAAGATTCCTGGACTACAATTCCCAGTATTCCCCAGCCTGCATGTTTGAAGATTTCTGGACTACAATTCCCAGAATTCCCCAGCCTGCATGTTTGAAGATTCCTGGACTACAATTCCCAGAGTTCCATATCCAGCATGTTTGAAGATTCCTGGACTACAATTCCCAGTATTCCCCAGCCTGCATGTTTGAAGATTTCTGGACTATAATTCCCAGAATTCCCCAGCCAGCATGCTTGAAGATCCCTGGACTTCAGTTCCCAGAATTCCCCAGCCAGCATGCTTGAAGATGCCTGGACTACAATTCCCAGAGTTCTAATCCATCTCTGTCCAATCTATTCCTACAGCAAGAATTACAGGGAGCTTTTTAGAATCCCCCCCAGGCACACCTACTTGTTTCCTTTTTCCTTTTTCCATCTCTTTAACTTCTGGCCGATTTCCACAAAGCTTTCAATGTCGTAGAAGCGGCTGGTGAGAAAGTGGAATATCCCACCTTTCCGGGGACTGGAAGAAAGACACCCTGAAGTGCTGCTAAACCGAGAGCTGACGACGTACAACGAGGTCAAACGCTTGCTCTGACGGAGCTGCAGAGAGAACGAAGCAGAAGCAACGTTTTCAGCAAAGAAGGAAACTCCTGTTCCTTGAGATAAGCAACGGCGGGATTGCTAGCACGTTTTCTTAAGTCACACCTCCTGCAGATCACTAACCTCCTTACAGGTTGTCCTCGTCTTACGACCACGGTTGGGACCAGAATTTCTGTTGGTGGAAAGGATTGACTACCTGAATCCTACAACAGGGAGGTTTTGTGATTGTGTAACACACCTAAGAGGATAAAGGATACAGCCCTGGGATTCTGGCATGCTCTTCCGTCCAAATACAAAGGACCCATCCCTGCGTAGTTTCAGACACAGGCTGCCTTCTGCTGAGTGATTTTCCTCGATTTAATAGCACCACCAGCTGGTCAGCATTTTAGCTACACAGCAAATAAAATGTCTATAGGGCAGAGGTAGGCAACCTTGGCTCTTTTATGACTCGTAGACTTCAACTCCCAGAATTCCTGAGCCAGCCATGCTGAGGGGAAAGGGAGAGGTTTCCAAGCTGAGCCAGGTTGGCTCAGGAATTCTGGGAGTTGAAGTCCACGAGTCATAAAAGAGCCAAACCTCAGTGTGTCTCTTCCAAGTCCTGGCTGGATTTGGGGGTCCTTATTCACAGGGTGCCCCTAGTTCAGGGATAGACAACCTTGGCTCTTTTATGACTCGCAGACTTCAACTCCCAGAATTCCCGAGCCAGCCATGCTGAGGGGAAAGGGAGAGGTTTCCAAGCTGAGCCATGCTGGCTCAGGAATTCTGGGAGTTGAAGTCCACCAGTCATAAAAGAGCCAAGGTTGCCTAGCCCTGCGATTCTCAGTCATCCAGGTCCTGGCTGTCCCCAAACCCCAAAGGTGCTTTTTCAAGAGGCAACTGGATTTTCTTGTTTTTCTTTGAAGACGTTTCGCTTCTCATCCAAGAAGCTTCTTCAGCTCTGACTGGAGGGTGGGGAATGGAAGGATTGATACTCCTTGCAGAAAAACTGGTCCTTTGCCTTCTTTCAGAGAGTCGTTGGGAGGCACTTTTGTCTCAAAAGTTCTTTTTCAAAAAGCAACTGGATTTCCTTGTTTTTTCCTTGAAGAGGTTTCGCTTCTCATCCAAGAGCTGAAGAAGCTTCTTGGATGAGAAGCGAAACGTCTTCAAGGTAAAAAAAACAAAAACAAAGTCCAGTTGCCTTTTGAAAAAGCATTTTGGTACACGATGAAGCTTAGAATCTTCCAGGTGAAACACCCAGGAGCGCTCAAAGACTCACAATTCAGTCGTCATTGGTTTCATCCTGCTGAGAATTGAAGGCTCGCTGGGACCTTAACAGGGGTCTCCAGATGTGGGGGGGAGCCATTGTAGCGTCCACCACGTTAAGCGCCAGGATGTAAGGTTTTCCACTTAGCCTCACAATTGCNAAGATGTCTTCCACCTTTTATACCTTTCCAGAACAAAAAGATCAGGTCTTGGTACTAGGCATAAGATGGCACAAAAAAATAATTCCTAGATGATGACTCATACAGAGCAACCCAGGCTCCATCCGTAACTCCTTTTTCCCCTCCCCTTACTGTGCTCTTTTCATATAAGCAATCACCTATACCAGCGGTTCTCAACCTATGGGTCGTGACCCCATTTGGGGTCGATCGACCATTTCACGGGGGTCGCCAAGCAAGGCTGTCCGCCATTTTTCCCCCTTTTCCGGCGGGTGCCTTACCTCCCTTGGGCTGGGCCAGCTGGTGGTCGGCCTGCTCCGCCTCTGCTGCTTGCCAGCTATGCCTCGGCAGGCGCAGGGGGCATAACCACGCATGCGTGGCGCTCCCGGGCAGGGAAAGTCCTTGACTTACGACCGGTTGGGTAGTCCTCGACTTACGACCGGTTTAGTCCTCAACTTATGACCGGTTTAGTCCTCGACTTACGACCGGTTGGGGTCGCGGCATTAAAAAGGTTGAGAACCACTGACCTATACCTAAAGCATGAAGCCCTTACTTTTCCAATATAAATATATATATAAACCATCTGATCAAACAATTAACTACACAATAATGATTACAAAATAACAAAACAATGATTACATGATAACACTATAAGTATCAATATAAAATGGTTGCTATATATAAAATAAATGCTAATGTCAAACTTAAACGTACTAAAATCATAAGCACAATAAAATCCCTGCCTTAGACACAAAAAAAACAGCTGGGTGACTTTGGATTCCACAATTTCTCTCCAGTTCAAGAAATGGATGTTCAGCTCCTGGGGTGCCCGAGTTTCGAGGCAACACACAAACACACACACACACACACACACACAAAGACAGCTATTTAAATAAAAGGCGCGACAAAAACCTAATGCAAAATATCTGTGGACAAGGCGGCAGGAGAGCTAAAGGGAAAGCTGGCACCCCCGGGGTCACAAAACCTTCATTGCCCTTCGTGGGAAACCGAGGTACCGAGTTCAAATTCGGTGTCTTTGTCCTGAAATCGGTTTGCCACGAAAAGCAAAAAAATAAAAATAAAGCCCCGCTATAAAGGACTCACCAGCGCCGGCGCCGCCATCTTTAGCGTGTCACGTGACTCCCGCCGTCTCAAAGAGGGCCCAAGAGAGACCTTGCTATGGCCGGCTGGAGACTGCGCATGTGTCAGTTTTCGGGCATGCTCAATAGTGAGAAGTGACACTCCTCCCCGCCCTTTGCCTTGCCCTTCCTTGGCGTTAGCGCCCCTTGCGGTAGAATATGGGGATGTTTGCATTCAAACGGTAGTTACAAAGGAAAAGACGGTCCTTGATAACAGGAAAAAAGATACAATAATCAATTGCGTCGCCTTATCAGCCAAGAGCAACAATTAAAAGAAATGTACGGTTCCTAAAAAGGGTTTATCACCAAATCAGGGTAGACCTCTGAGAAAATTTTGCAGTAGTTCAAAGGTTGGTAAAGTTTTTTTTTCCATGGAAGAAAAACATTCTGCACATGGTCAGAGGCCCTGTTTTCTTTGGGGAATTGCCCGAGCTACTGACTCTCTCCAACCTCCTGGGAAAGTCGTAATCATGTGATCCGGGGACACAGCAACCATCTTAAATACATGCCGGTTGCCAAGCGCCGAAATCTTGATCATGTGACCATGGGGATGCTAGGACGGTCGTAAATGCGAGGACCAGTCGTAAGTCATTTTTTTTTCAGTGCTGTTGTAACTTCAAATGGTCACTAGAGGAATGGTTGCACGTTGAGGACTACCAACTCTGAGTGCAAAGTTTCTGTCGCTAAGTGAGACATTTGTTAAGTGAGTTTTGCCCCCTTTTACAACCTGTCCTGCCACAGTTGTTAAGTGAATCACTGCAGCTGTTAAATCAGTGACACGGTTGTTACGTGAATCTGGCTCCCCCATTGTCAAAAGATCACAAAAGTTGATCACATAACCTCGGGAGGCTGCAACCGTCGTAAATATGAACCCTGTTGCCAAGCTTCCGAATTTCGACCACGGGGATGGTGCAAAGGACGTAACGGTGAAAAGCGGTCACAAGTCACCTTTTTCAGTCCCATGGCAACTTTGAACGGTCACTAAATGAATGTTGTAATGTCGAGAACTGCCTGTTAAAAAAAAAATCATCAGGGTCCAGTCCAAGCTGGGAATAAACAAAATGGAGTCTGCTTTAGAAAGAAGGTTGCGGTTTATTGAAGAGCAGAGCTAGACAGAAAGATGGCTCTGGGAAAGCAGACCCCCTGTAGCTGGGAGTGGTGGGTTTTTATACCTTCTTGAGCTTTTGTTTGGAGTTCTTCCTGTTTGAGGCTTTGTATTTCCTGTGTCATGTACTTTGACTTGAGTCTGAGTGTGCCCTTAGGGTATTGGTGGGTTAATTCTATTATGTCTCTTGTCCTTAAAATTTGGGTGGGGTATGTAGATTTTAGGGGTCTTTGTTTTTCTAATTTCTTCAGTTTCTAGCTGGAAGGCTCAAACCTTCCTGAATGGATTATTGAATTTGCATTTCTAAAAGCTGGCCTCTGCTGAGTTCTCTGCTTGGGGGAGAGGGTCTGGGGCTGGTTTCTGTCTTTTTTTTAAAAAAGATCTTCTCCATTATTCCTTTTGGGAAATACATTCTGCCTTTTTAATATTCCCCCAAATATTTCTTTCTCTGGATTCTTCCCACATGCCTCTACATGCACAAAATAAATCAACAAATCTGTCATTACATCTTTCTAGCTCTGAACGGACTTGCCCTCCATGTAGATAAAATTATCCCTTCTTGAGCTGCTGGCACCTTGGCATTCGGTGGCCGCCTTGCATTCCTTCCAACCAGCCGTTCCTTTTGTGGTGTGATTCATAACTTCCTCCTTTTGCTTCTGAAATTTATCGCCTGTCGCACAGAATGTTCTTCTCCCCTCGTACAATACAACGGTTGTGGCACTTGGCACTGCCATCCTTCTGTCCTGCAACCTGGGGTGACTCTGCTCTCTCACCTGGGCACCTGTGAACTTTGAATTAACTGCCCTGCTGGCAGCCACCGAGTTAGGTGTGGATTTTTGAAGCACACAGAGACATTTTCGGGACAGGCCCAGCAGGTAAACAATCTCCAAGTTCACAGAAAGGTGAGTTAGGGAAGGTTGCCTGGTAAGTTACCTGCTCAGGTTATAATTCCTCATTTCTTCCCCTCCCAGTTCACTTTCAGACCTGGACACCTTTAAGCAGGCTGCCCTTTCTTCCGGAGCGAATTCAAGTCCAAACAGGACCCTGAATTCAGCTTCTAAAAAAAATTAAATTAAATTAAAAACGGTCTGCCAGTTTTGACCGCGTGGCTACTTTCTCGGAAAACGACTCCTGGTTTTTAGAAGGTGCAAATAGCTGGACGTCTCATCCTGAAGAACTTAACGGGGATGTTCTAAGGTGAGTTGAAAAAGCGAAGAATGGAATTGGGAAGGTAAGTTCTGATGGATCAATTCTGGGAAGCTTCAGGGAAGCCTGCTCCACACACTTTGCAGAACAGGAAATTAGTAATTTAATTATAATTAGGGATTATTTTAGGATCTCAGAGGTGGTTTTTTTCCCCCCCTCTTTCAAAAGGCAACTGGACTTGTTTTATTTGAGGGAGACATTTCACTTCTTATCCACTTCTTATGATTGGATATCATATCATATATGAGACAAAGTATGACCTGGGTTACTAAGAATCTCCATAGATTGTTTTAGGAATTGTCCCCTTAAAAAGAAACCTCAAAAATCAGGATCAAAGTGGCCAGAACAGTAAGATTGAAATTTACTGGGGGAAGTTCCCTTTAGAAAGGATGGGAAATTGCATTTTTCAAAATAAAGATTTACAGCGCTGTTTTTCCACAGCTATTTTTGTCTCTCTCTCTGGGTGGATTTGTTTGTTTTTTTGCAGTGGAATAAAAATCAACAGGGAAGGAAATCCAGTATAAAGTTATTTCAGGCTGTTTTCTCAACCTCCCTCTTCAGCGCTGGCATTTCCGGCTGGTTTTTAAGCCTGCTAAGTTTTGTTCCAGATCAACCAAATTTAGATGCTGCTGGCGTTCACGTAAAGTTTGATTTTTCCTCTAAAAAGCCTCTTCCATGCCGTATTCTGCTTAGGACATGGTATTTAAAATACCTGAATTACTAGCACCTGCCAATAAGTACAGGTAGTCCTCGTCTTACGACGAAGATGCAGCCTGGAGTTATGTCACTGTGCCTGAACTTATGAGCTGATTTGTGACAGCTGCTAAACTGGAACCTTTGGGGAGGGGAAGGGGCTGTCGTAACTTTGAAGATTCGCTAAGCAACCAGTTGTTAAGCGAGGACTACATGTAAAGGATGTATTTCATCAAGGAAGGGAGTCAACCAGGTAATTTTGAACTCTCACTACTTGTAACTTAACAACTGAATTCTCTTAAGATCTATGACACTTTATTTGCATTTAAGGGTGAAAACCTGTCAGAAGTCACTTCAGACGGTCACTAAATGAACCGTTGTAAATAGAGGACTACTGTGTTTGCATTTAAGTCACTGACTTTTGGGAGTCACTCGGCAAACAATGAACACTAAACAGCCCCCGTACATTTTTTCTGGCCTATATATCAAACTCTTTGTTATTCTATTCCATTCCATTCCATTCCATTCCACTCCATTCCATTCTATTCTATTCTATTCTATTCTATTCTATTCTGTATTTATTCTATTCTGTATCTATTCTATTCTGTATCTATTCTATTCTGTATTTATTCTGTTCTGTATCTATTCTATTCTATTTCTTTTCTATTCTATTCTGTATTTTTCTATTCTATTCTATTCTATTCTATTCTATTCTGTATCTATTCTATTCTGTATCTAATCTATTCTGTATTTATTCTATTCTGTATCTATTCTATTCTGTATCTATTCTATTCTGTATCTATTCTATTCTGTATTTATTCTATTCTGTATCTATTCTATTCTATTCTATTATCTATTCTATTCTATTCTGTATCTATTCTATTCTGTGTCTATTCTATTCTATTCTGTATCTATTCTATTCTATTATCTATTCTGTTCTATTATCTGTTCCGATCTGTTCTGTTCTGTATCTGTTCTGTTCTGTTCTGTTCTATTCTATTCTTATTCTATTCTATTCTATTGAAAAAATCCTGCCATCTTTTCTCAGGTTGCATTGAGCAAGGAACCCAACCCATCTCCATGGACACCTGGATCAGGGAAGAAGAGGCACCTCTCTTCAAAGGGCTGCCCCCCTTACCTAAAGTGTTTTGGGGGGCTCATCTGTCTCAAGAATCTCCACCTGAGATGGCAGAGCAGGAAGGGACCAAACCACTAGAGGGGGAGCACATCGGCCTCCATGGAAAAATATCCTGGCTGCAGAGAGAAATGGTGAGGGTCTCCACTTGCTATTTGGGGGGGGTGTAGGCCTGAGAAGGTATGCCCAGCGATGAAGCACCCACAACTTCTGGTTGCAAGCTGTTCCACTGGTTAACTATCCTCACTGTTAGGAACTTTCTCCTTAATTCCAGGTTGCTTCTGTCCTTGATTAGTTTCCATCCATTCTTTCTTGTCCTGCCTTGTGGTGCTTTGGAAATAAGTCGACTCCCCCTCTTCTTTGGGGCAGCCCCTCAAATATTGGAAAGCTGCTATCATGTCTCCCCTAGTCCTTCTTTTCTCTAGACTAGCCATACCCAATTCCTGCAACCGTTCTTCGTCTGTTTTTGTCTCCAGGCCTTTAATCGTCTTAATTGCTCTGCTCTGCAAAGTCTCAACATCTTTTTTGTAATGTGGGGACCGAAACTGGATGCCGTATTCCAGGCGTGGTCTTACTAGGGCTTTATAAAACGGTACTAATACATCACGTGATTTCGATCCTATGCCTGTTTATACAACCAAGGATTGTGTTAGCTTTTTTGGCTGCTGCCACACACGGCTGGCTCAGGTTTAAGTGATCGTCCACTAGGACGCCAAGGTCCCTTCTCCCAGTTCCTGTTTTTGAGCCAGGTTTTGCCTAGTCTGTACTTGTACCTTTGGTTTTTCCTGCCCAGGTGTAAAACCTTGCTTTTCTCCACATTAAATTTCATTTATTTATTTTTTTTTTGGGGGGGGAGGGAATAGGGCCCATTATTCAAGTCTGTTCATTAACTGAAACAAAGTGGAAGACGGTAAAGGGACTGTGCCAAATATCCCTGTTTTTATCTGGATATAGTCCTTATCCAGATTGACAGTTTCCTGCCCCATCCAGAGATGAACTCCCCAAAAACATCATGGTCCTTGGTAACAATAATAATCGTCATCATCATAAAGTTGGAAGGGACCTTGGAGGTCATCCAGTCCAACCCCCTGCTCAGGCAGGAAACCCTATCCCATTTCGGACAAATGGCTATCCAGTCTCTTCTTTAAAACTTCCAGTGTTGGAGCTTCTGGAGGCAGGTTGTTCTACTGGTTAATTGTTTTAATTATCAGGAAATTTCGCCTTAGTTCTGGGTTGCTTCTCTCCTTGATTAGTTTCCATCTTGTTGCTTCTTGTCCTGCCCTCAGGCGCTTTGGAGAATAGCTTGACTCCCTCTTCTTTGGGGCAGCCCCCCAAATACTGGAAGACTGCTATCATGTCCCCCCTCATCCTTCTCTTCATTAAACTAGACATACCCAATTCCTGCAACCATTCCTTATATGTTTTAGCCTCCAGTCCTCTAATAATCTTTGTTGCTCTTAATAATAATAATAATAATAATAATAATAATAATAATAATAATAATAAGTTGGAAGGGACCTTGGAGGTCATCTAGTCCAACCCCCTGCTCAGGCAGGAAACCCTACACCATTTCAGACAAAGGGCTGTCCAGTCTCTTCTTAAAAACTTCCAGTGTTGGAGCATTCACCGCTTCTGGAGGCAGGTTGTTCCACTGGTTAATTGTTCTAACTGTCAGGAAGTTTCTCCTTAGTTCTAGGTTGCTTCTCTCTTTGATTAGTTTCCATCCGTTGCTTCTCGTCCTGCCTTCAGGCGCTTTGGTGAATAGCTTGACTCCCTCTTCTTTGGGGTAGCCCCTGAGATATTGGAACACAGCTATCATGGTGAATAATAAAAGCTGTTCTGTTTGTTAACCCCCCCTTCCCCTCCAGCTGGGTCTACGAAGGAGTGACCTGGGCCTTTTTCGTCAGCTTTACTTCCTTGCCCTGGAAATCCAGGATCTCAGTGAGTTACATCAGGAGATGGTGACCTTCTCAAAGGAGCAGCTGGCAGGAGAAGAAGACCCCAACCACGCCGGAGACAGGAAAGCAACGGGGCAGAGCCAGCGTGAAGCTTTTGAACTAACCATCTGAAAATCTCCAAGGTGCTTTTTGAAGAGGCAACTGGACTTTTTTGTTTTCCTTCGAAGACGCTTCGCTTCTTATCCGCTGAAGAAGCTTCTGGGACCAGAAGCGAAACGCCTTTAAAGAAAAACAAGGAAGTAAGTCCAGTTGCCTCTTGAGAAAAAGCACCTTTGGGACAACCAGGACCTGGAGAATCTCCATTGACATTTAACCACCTGGAAAAGGCAGCTGCCTCTTTGAACTCGCTGGGCAAAAGGCGACTCCGAGCGATCTACAGGCAGTCCTGGACTTACAGCAGTACGTTTAGTGACCGTTCAAAGTTACAACGGCACTGAAAAAAGTGAACTTATGACAAGTAACCAGTTAACCAATTAACTTAGAACAATTAATCAGTGGAACAGCTTGCTTCCAGAAATCGTGGGCGCTCTATCACTGGAGGTTTTTAAGAAGAATTGGACAGTCACTAGTTTGAGATAGTATAGGTTCTCCCACCTGAGTGGAGGGTTGGACTAGAAGACCTCCAAGGTCCCTTCCAACTCTGCTATTCTAATTCTCTTCTCTTCTCTTCTATATTTATTCTATTCTAGTTCTATTCTATTCTACTCTATTCTGTATTTATTCTATTCTATTCTACTTTATTCTGTATTTATTCTATTCTACTCTATTCTGTATTTATTCTATTCTATTCTACTCTATTCTGTATTTATTCTATTCTACTGTTCTGTATTTATTCTATTCTACTCTATTCTTATACTATTCTATTCTTATTCTATTTATTCTATTCCAATTCTAATTCTATTCTAATTCTATTCTATTCATGACCGTTTTTCAGTTATCTTTGCAGCATCCCCACGATCATGTGATCAAAATCCAGATGCTTGGCCACTGGTTCATACTTACGACTGTTGCCATGTTTCTAGGTCATCTGATTCCCCTTTTGCAATCTTCTGACAAGCAAAGTCAACAGCGAAGCCCGATTTACTTAACAATTGGGTTACTCACTTATCCACTTCAGTGACTCACTTAATACCTGTAGCAAGAAAGGTCGTAAAATGGGGCAAAACTCACTTAACAGATGTCTCACGTAACAGAAGTGCCAGGCTCAGTTGTGGCCGTTGAGGACTACATGTGTTTATGTGTTTGTGTGTGAATTCTTCTTTACAGGCTAAATTTGGAAAACGAGCAAGTAAGGGATCCCCAAATTCTCCATTACTATAACTCTATATCATTATTTTGAGGCACTGCAACAGATCCTAGATCAGGGGTAGGCAACCTTGGCTCTTTTATGACTGGTGGACTTCAACTCCCAGAATTCCTGAGCCAGCCATGCTGAGGAGAAAGGGAGAGGTTTCCAAGCTCAGCCATGCTGGCTCAGGTATTCTGGGAGTTGAAGTCCACGAGTCATAAAAGAGCCAAGGTTGCCTACCCCTGTCCTAGATCCTTGCCGGTCTGTCTGACTGTCCGTTCCCACCGAAATTTCTAAATTTCTTTCTATCCCAAGCGCCACGAGGCCACTAATTTTTTTTTAAAAACAGCAGTTTCCTCTCTGGCCTCCTTTCCTAAGGACTTGTGACTTCACTGGCAAGTGACTTCACAACGATCAGGGTCACAGATTCATCCCCCCCCTCCTCCACCAGCTACGCTTAACTACGGTTTATCAAATTTATTTTTTTATTGTTATAAATGTAGGTTATGTCCCAAGAGGCCGGGTTCACATGATTCGAAGGAAGGCTTCGTGCCGCAGGCTGAGTCAGCCGAGATCAACGGGCCTCATCAAATCTTCATTTTAAAAAAATGTGCAATTGGGAAGCAGCGCGTTAAAAAAAACAATGTTAAAAAGCAAGCCACAGTGGCGAAAGAGGTAGCTTTGGTGTGTGGCGAAGGGATTTTGTAAAAGTCTGTACGTGAAGAAGAGTCCAAACAGCTTTGCTTCGTGTCTCTAGCTACACAAAACGCTCCCCAGCGTCTTTTTCTTTCTTTCTTGGGTGTTTCAGTGATTTTTTGCTAAATTCAGCCATTTGCCAACCCAGGAGGTAATTTGCTAAAGAAAGAAAGAGAAGAAAAAAAAGCAAATTTTATTAACTTCAAAGAAGCACTAGTGTGTCTTCTCAGCTGCTTCTTTGCCAGTCTTCTGTTCTTATTTGTTTTTTCTGTTATTCGCTTTGATCAGGCCTTTAGTCTTTTTGTAAATAACTCAAGGCTGTAAAATATATTGAATACTCCTTCTTCTTCCTCTTTTGCCCAAAACAACAACCCTGTGAGGTGGCTTGGGCTGAGAGAGAGTGATTGGCCCAAACTCACCTGGCTTTCATGCCTAAGGCGGGACTAGAACTCACCGTCTCCTGGTGATTGGCCCAAAGTCACCCAGCTGGTTTTCAGGCCTAAGGCAGAACTAGAACTCACCGTCTCCTGGTGATTGGCCCAAAGTCACCCAGCTGGTTTTCAGGCCTAAGGCAGAACTAGAACTCACCGTCTCCTGGTGATTGGCCCAAAGTCACCCAGCTGGTTTTCAGGCCTAAGGCAGAACTAGAACTCACCGTCTCCTGGTGATTGGCCCAAAGTCACCCAGCCGGCTTTTGTGCCTAAAGGCGGGACTACAACCAGGGTCTTCTTTTTATTGGACCAAAGCCATCCAGCTGGCTTTCATGCCTGATGTAGAACTAGAACTCTCAGCTTCCCAGTTTCTAGCCGGTGTGAACCATTTGAATCACTTCATTGTTACTTATTTTTATTTGGAAAAGGTTTACGTTGCCTCAAATTGATGGGTGCGCCTCACAAGGGCCTAGATTTCGGGCTGATTATTTATTTTGTTCATTTATGATGCCCCCCGCTGCATTTTCCACCCACCCACCCCCTGACCACCACCCCCTCCATCTGTTTGCTTCAGCCTCTTTCGCCAGTCTCACCTTTCTGGCCTGGATGAGGGGCCAAGGGTCGCTGGCTGAGGGTGAGCCCATGTTGGCACAGTGCGAAGTGCCATTGATTAAAATGGCCGGTTCTGAAGCGGACTCGTTCGTGAGGACGCTCAGCGCATGCCAAGGATCAATGTCGCCTACGAAAGATTGGGGGGAAAAAAGGGAAGAAATCTGACGATGCTACCTAGTTAGGGCAATGTAACGTCTGCAAGAAAACAAGCCAGCTTAGAGAGCACCAAGGACCCCTCGTGTCAACCCTGAACTACCAATATTCTCCTTTATTAGAGAGCCGGTGTGTTTTCCATTCTCGGCAAAATAAAATCCACTCTAGATCAAGTTTGGCCGCTGCTAACTTCACATCCATCTCGGTGTCCACGTCGCCATGACTTGTCAGAAGGGTTTTTCAACCTTCTTAGGATTTCCTAGTGGTCTCCTCTCCTAAGGTTCCACGGTTCCAAATCCCACCTAGCTTTTTAAAAGCAGAGGTCGTCATCCTCATACCGTTAACGAAAAGGACTTGGCTGGCTTTGGGATGGTCGGCCCCGTAATAGTCGTTGGTGAAAGACACGGCTTCGCTCACGTTGCGATAGGAGATGTTGAAGACTTGAGCGCAGATATCTAACTGGTAGGCCAAGTTCATTCGGGGAGAGAAGGGGCAGTGTGAGTCCTCGCAGGTCTGGTCTAAAATGGGAGGAAAAGCAGTTTTGAAATGAGATTTATCATGCAGATGCACTAACAGAGGGATAGAACAAGATCTGGCAAAGTGTTAATGCCACTTTACAAGGCCTTGGTAAAGCCACACTTGGAATATTGCCTCCAGTTTTGATCACCACAATATAAAAAAGATATTGAGACTCTAGAAAGAGTGCAGAGAAGAGCAACAAAGATGATTAGGGGACTGGAGGCTGAAACATATAAAGAACGGTTGCTGGAATTGGATATGTCTAGTTTAATGAAAAGAAGGACTAAGGGGTGACATGATAGTGTTCCAATATTTGGGGGGCTGCCACAAAGAAGAGGGGGTCCACCTATTCTCCAAAGCGCCTGAAGGCAGGACAAGAAGCAGCAGATGGAAACTAATCAAGGAGAGAAACAACCTAAAACTAAGGAGAAATTTCCTGACAGTGAGAACAATTAATTAATGGAACAGCTTCCCTCCAAAAGTTGTGGGAAGGTTTTAAAGAAGAGATTGGACAGCCATTTGTCTGAAACGGTATATAGGGTTTCCTGCTTGAGCTGTGGGTTGGACTAGAAGACCTCCAAGGTCCCTTCCAACTCTCTTGATATTCTGAACCTCATTTTCTGTCCTTGCAAAAAAGCAAGCAAAAAGCAAAATGTTGCTTCGTGGTTCAAGATCAACCTCCAGCTTTTTCAGGGGAGGGGAGAGAGGAGGGGGCAGCCACAAGCACATTGGAAACAGACTTTTCGGCTGAACTTTGAGGAGCTCAAATGGGATGGCGAAGGATAGCAAGTAAGGATGGGGAAAGGTCAGCGTTCTTTGAATGCTCACTTACAATAGCCAAATTCCGTGCAGGTCTGGAAGTACCACTGTCTTATACCTATACCCGACGTCCCAATGCTGGTATTGCGTAATTCCTCTAGAATTTCCTCGTGAGAGTTCTCCAAACACGGCATGCCGTTCTGGTCCAGAATTAGCTACCCCAAATAAGATAAGCAAAAGATCCTGCTTACTTAAGGCCTGTTGGAACTCTGCCTCTTCTGCCTATCCCATAGGAACCGGCGAATTCGGCACGCTCCGGGTTTATTTATTTATTTCATTGGCATCCCGCCTTGTTTATTTGGACAAATAACTGAAGGGGGAGAACGTAGCCCCACACACTTTTCTCTTCCTCTTTTCCACACAACCACAATCCTGTGAGCGGGAGTGGGCTGAGAGTGACTCGCCGAAAGTCACCCAGCTGGCTTTCATGGCTAAGGTGGGACTAGAACTCCCAGTCTCCTGGTGACTGGCCCAGGATCACCCAACTGGCTTTCGTGGCTAAGGCGGGACTAGAACTCCCAGTCTCCTGGTGACTGGGCCAGGATCACCCAACTGGCTTTCATGGCTAAGGTGGGACTAGAACTCCCAGTCTCCTGGTGACTGGCCCAGGATCACCCAGTTGGCTTTCATGGCTAAGGTGGGACTAGAACTTCCAGTCTCCTGGAGATGGGCCCAAAGTCACCCAGCTGGCTTTCATGGCTAAGGTGGGACTAGAACTCCCAGTCTCCTGGTGACTGGCCCAGGATCACCCAGCTGGCTTTAAGGTGGGACTAGAACTCCCAGTCTCCTGGTGACTGGCTCAGGATCACCCAGCTGGCTTTCATGGCTAAGGCGGGACTAGAACTCCCAGTCTCCTGGTTTCTAGCCTGGTGCCTAGAGCTAGCTGAGTCTCACCACCGGCACTCATCACTGGTTCCATTGGGATCACCAGTCAGGAACCTAGGCAGGGCCTTCTCTGTGGTGTCCCCGTCAGAAAAACAAATGCCTTACGAGATTGGTGACAATGAGTCTCCGATACGGGGAGCCGATGCTGCTGTTGGTCATGATGCTGCAGATGCTTCTCACGCTGCTCCATGGGATTATGGCATTGTTGTACTGCACGACTCCCATGAAGATGTCGGCCAGGTTGGTGACCAACGCTTGGCAGTCCCTGTCCCCTTGCAACGGGCTGCAGGAGTGAAAATCTATGCCGAGTTTTGCCAGCCACCCGGCACGCACCATGCTGTCCACGGAAGCGAAGGCCTCTCTCACTCTTTGCAGGCACTGGGGGAGAAAGTAGAGAAGCCCCACCCCCAACCAGAGTTAGGAGGGTCCTTGGAAGTAGGGGGACATTCAGAGTTAGGGAGCAGGAACTCCAGATTTGTAGCACAGTGGGGAAATGCACGTGGAGTTAAGAGGGGTAAAAAAAAAAAAATTGAGATCCACACACTGTCAAGTATGCATTGCTTAATGGTGAGTTTCTAGATATGTTTGGGTTCAGGAAGTCTGTGAAGCCATTGCGCTGAGCTACCAAACCAAGAGGTCTGGGTTCTGGGTTCAAATGCTCAGGGGGTTCTGTGGTTGGAGGACAAGGCTTCAACACCATATGCACCCTCTTGTTAATTTGGACACTCCTGCAAATACCCCCGTTGAAATTGCATGTGCGAATGCAATTAAAGAAGTCTGGTCTCGGTTTCCTTCCTTCCTTTCCTTCCTTCCATCCTCCCTGCCTCTATTCTTGTTTTCCCTCCTCCCTCCCTCCCTCCTTCCCTTTTCCTTCCTTCTTTTATATGCAGCCTATCTCCCCAATAGAACGATTCCTTCTTTTTCTTCCCTCTTCCCTTCCTTCCTTCCTTCCTTCCTTCCTATCGCTTGTACTTTATTTTCTTTTTCCTTATATTTGTATTGTTCTTACTTTACAACCCTTTTTAAAACGATTTTGTTTTAAAAATGTTCTTTTAAGGGAACTGACCTCTGTGGAACCTCCGACCACTGGATTTGAGAGACTCGCAGCGACAACCTAAAGAAATGGAAGCGAAAGGAAAAATGACATTGATGGGATCTCTCCAACGTGTGACCCAGCTTCTTTCTAAAATATTGCAGCTTCAATCTGGAGTGAAAGGTTTCACAACAGACTTTCCCTGGCCACAATGGTTAACCATTGTGTTAAAAAAAAAAGATAAGAGCTAAATTTGTGCCAGGAACCAGGCTGCTTTCCTTCTCTCTTTTTCCTCCTACAAAGCGGAAAGCCCCGATTTTCTTTCCTTCCATGAAATATGTAGGCAAATCTTTCACGGTGCAAGCAACGCACAGCTCAGCGTTTAAGCCAGGGGTAGGCAACCTTGGCTCTTTTATGACTCGTGGACTTCAACTCCCAGAATTCCTGAGCCAGCCATGCTGAGGGGAAAGGGAGAGGTTTCCAAGCTGAGCCATGCTGGCTCAGGAATTCTGGGGGTTGAAGTCCACGAGTCATGAAGGGGCCAAAGTTTCCCTCATGCTGGCTGAGGAATTCTGGGAGTTGAAGTCCACGAGTCATGAAGGGGCCAAAGTTTCCCTCATGCTGGCTGAGGAATTCTGGGAGTTGAAGTCCACCAGTCATGAAGGGGCCATAGTTCCCCCATGCTGGCTCAGGAATTCTGGGAGTTGAAGTCCACGAGTCATAAAAGAGCCAAGGTTGCCTATCTCTGGTTTAAGCTTAAAATGTGTGGATTTCAACTCCCAGAATTCTCCAGCTAGTGTTGCTGGCTGGGGAATTCTGGGAGTTGAAGTCCACCCATCTTAAAGTGGCCAAGACAAAAACAACTACACAGAGAACTCAATGATTGTGCTTGCTTTTTTCCTCCTTTCTCTCTTCCAATTTAGAAAACTCCATATTTTTGCCTTTTTTTTTTTTTTTAGCAAATTCGGCAAACAAATCTGTCTGCTTATTTGTGACGAGCTGGGTTTAATCTCCCAACGATCGTCTCGAAATTCAGAGGTCATTTTGGCTCCCCCGGCCAAAAGCTGACCTTGTTGTAGCCTGTGAAATCCATCTCGGCTCGAACTGGAGCAGAAGACGCGACGGCAGCGAAGACCAAGTGGGGAAACTGTAAGGAAGAAAGGAAGGAAGGAAGGAAGGTCAAGAAAGAAACGGAAAAATATTTTCCCTGTAGGATTATGGGACCCTTGGTAAGGGAAGAGAGATGGCCTTCAAACTAACTTGGTTTCTCTGGCCCGTGACCTCCATTAAACCCTGTTTCTGACGTGCAGAAGAAGGCATTAAAGTGCCCCCCCTTCAATACTCCAATTTTTGCAAGAAGATCCTTCTTGTTGTTAGTTGCAAAGTCGTGTCTGACCCATCGCGACCCCATGGACAACGTTCCTCCAGGCCTTTCTGTCCTCTACCATCTTCTGGAGTCCGTTGAAGCTCACGCCTGCTGCTTCAGTGACTCCATCCAGCCACCTCATTCTCTGTCGTCCCCTTCTTCTCTTGCCCTCCATCTTTCCCAGCATCAGGCCCTTCTCCAGTGAGTCCTTCCTTCTCATTAGGTGGCCAAAGTACTTCCAGATCCTACCTTAAGCCTAAACCAGGCGGCCAAGGAACCAGGATATGAGCCTCCAAAGCAGATCCAGGTGTGATTCGCTCTCAAGTTGTACTTCTGGGTGATAAAATGGCGGAAGGCAACCAGATCAGACAGACTGAAAAGAAGAAGGTTGAAGTCCTCATATCTCACATCTTAAAAGTTGCTAACGTTGGCAAACACTGGTCTAAACGGTCTAGTAAATTCCAGAATGAGGATGTTGCCCACCCCCTCAAGTGAAAATTGGTAGCTCTGGGGCCACTTACGCTTGCTGGCTAGACAAGAACTGAAGGTTTTCATCCTGCAAACTATCAGGGTTAAGGCTGGTCCCGTAGAAGCGATGCTCCAAAGACACCACCATGGCTTTGTACTTCTCGGCTAAACCTACATGATGTCCTGAAATCAGAATAAAATGCAACAGGGTGATGAATGATGGAGGAGGAGGAGGAGGAGCAGGAAGGAGGAAGGAGAAAGGAGGAAGGAGAAGAGGAGGAGGAGGAGGAGGAAGAAGAAGAACTGGGGGTCCATGGTTCTGAGCTTGGTGCTTTTCCTGCAGACATTTCATTACCCAACTAGGTAACGTCATCAATGACAGAAGAGTGGGTGGGGGAAGGAGGAAGAGGAGAACTGGGCATAAGAAGAGGTCTTTTCTTCCCACACCCCAGGTAACTCTATGATGATTCTATGAGGCTTCTCCTGTATGAGGCCTCTCCTCTATCGGGCAGTAGGGAGATCTCCAGGGAAGGAGTCAAAAAAGTCAAGATGGCGGCCACAATGAGATGATGAAGTTTGCAGAGCCAGGACCCTGGGCATTTTCCCAGCTGCCCATCCCAGCTTCTCTCCTTCCCAGGGAGACGAAGCCAAGCTGAACGCTGCTCTCCGGAGCGTGGCCACGTGGTCGCCACCGCTCAGCCCGACTCACTTACCGGCCAACACGGAGAACGGCGAGAGGGTGGATTCCCCTCCAATGTAGAGGAAAACGGGGCCGGTGGGACGTTGCCACAATTGCTCATTAATCCAGTAGCGCTGAATTTCGGAAAGAAAGACGGAAGAAAACCAATTCAATATAAAATCAGAAGTCAAGAAAAGCCACAAGGCTGAGAATTAAGAGCGGGGCACTGCTCAAATTGGCATCCGATACAGCGGGGGTGTCCAAAACTGGGCAATTTTAAGATTTGTGGACTCCCAGAATTCCCCATTCAGCATGCGATTAAATTTTAAGATGTGTGGACTTCAACTCCCAGAATTGTGCTGGCTGAGGAATTCTGGGAGTTGAAAATCCACATATCTTAATATTTAATAGCACACTGAATGGGGAATTCTGGGATTTGAAAATCCACATATCTTAATATTTAATAGCACACTGAATGGGGAATTCTGGGAGTTGAAAATCCACATATCTTAATATTTAATAGCACACTGAATGGGGAATTCTGGGAGTTGAAAATCCACACCTCTTAACATTCAATAGCACAACGGCTGGGGAATTCTGGGAGCGGAAGTCCACTCTTCTTAAATCGGCCACGGTTGAGAAACACCACCAAGGCAGGGCCGACCTGCATGTGTACCGCTGCCCGTTCTCAAGTGCCATTTTTCACCTGGTTAAAGACACGTCTGTCCTGCCGGTTGAAGTGGTCCAGAGGCTGGGGGATGCGCCCCGCCTCAACCGGGATCCTGTTTAGCATCGCTGGTCTTTGGCTGTGCAGCTGCCAGCGAATCTGGACTTCTTTCACGGTTTGTTTCTCCCGCTGCTGCTCGACATGCTGGCGGAAGAGCCAGAAAAGTTTGCCTAAAAAAGGGAAAACAGAGGGAGGAAAAAAAATAAAGGATTTTTTTTAAAAAAAATAACTTTCCACTATGCTTCAGTTATCTCAAGGTGGTTTCCAGTTGGATGCAATGGCTGGCTTGTTTGAACCCTGTCTCTTAGCCACGGTAGCTGGGAAATTACCTTCTGAATTAGCTGACAGTTATCCCAGGCTTGTTCAATGAATAAACCATACAGGCAGTACTCAATTTACAACCGCAGCTGAGACCAACATTTCTGTTGCTAAGTGGTTTTGCCCCATTTGATGACTTCTTGGCACCGTTAAGTGAAACCCTGCAGCTGGTAAGTTAGAAACATAGGTGTTAAGTGAATTTGGCTTCCCCATTGAGTTTGCTTGTCAGGAGCAAAAGGGGATCACGTGACCCCGGGACACGGCAACCGTCATAAATATGAGTCAATTGTCCTCAATTTATTTCAAAACTTGGGAAAAATTTTTATCGATGGTTAGAGACACGTTAGAATATGAACAGAACTTAAAATTGAATTGAATTTTAAAATTGAATAGAATAAGTGATAGATCTTTAACTAAGTTTTATTTTTTCTTAGATTAATGACATCTGTATTACCAGTGACTTTAAATACTAATGGTGACGATTAGAATTAGCTGATGAGTTCTTAAGTATGAATAACTATTTAGAAGAATTTTACTTATTTATCAAATTTTAGTTATATGATTATAGTTAATTCTACCTTTATAATTGTTTAGTATTATATGAATTATGTTTATTTAACATTTAGATCCGGACGTAGCTTGTTTGTTAAAGCTTGGGATTATTATGGGGTGTCGCCCCATTATTGTACCTACCTTTATCCTACCCCAAATTCCTATTCCCATTCCCCCTATACCCGTTTTGACCTTATCTTTTCCTTACCTATACAAAATCTAATAAAATATTTATAAAAAAAATAAAATAAATATGAGTCAATTGCCAAGCATCTAGATCCATGGGGATGCTGCAACAGCGAAAAACGGTCCAAGACTCTTTTTTCAGCGCCGTTATAACTTCCAACAGTCACCAAACCCACTTGTTGTAAGTCAAGGACTATCTATAGCAGTGATGGCGAACTTTTTAGAGACCGAGTGCCCAAACTGCAACCCAAAACCCACTTATGTATCGTCGGGTGCCGGGTGGGCGTGGCCCATTGGGTGGGTGTGGCTGCAGTGGTCACGGCAGACTGGGTGGGACTAAAAAGTTCAATCAATCAATTCCAACTTTCCAAGATCTTTTTTTTTCCCACGAGAAGTTGAAATTGACTGATTGATTGAACCTTTTTTTTTTTTGCACACGGCGGCGGAGGCCTAAAGCGAAAAGGTTTTATAAAACCCAGCTGAAGGCCTAGGACTGGGGCGACCGAATGCGTGCCCACAGAGAAGGCTCTGAGTGCCGCCTCTGGCACCCGTGCCATAGGTTCACCACCACGGATCTATAGTTTAATTGTGGCTTAGGTATTTGGGCATTCAGGATGTGCAGGCTTTAGTTACATTTGCCTCCGGCAAGCGGCCAGCTTTAGGCATCCATCCGTTGGGTCTTTCTGCATCTCTGGGAATCAATCCTTTCTCGAATTTCAAGCGGCTTTTTTTTTGTAGTTACAAGAAACTTTCCAGTCAATTCCAAGCCATTTTTACAAGTAGTTCCTTGTTTTTTGAAGAGGCAAGAAGATGCTTTTTTAAAGCTGCTTCTGCAGAAGTGAAACCGAGCGAAGCGAAGACGACTCGTTCCGGCTTCTTAATTCTCAGAAGCTGGAGACAGCAAAAAAAAGGGCATCACAAGTCACTGCATTTCCTGAAAGCGACTCAGAAATTTTATCAGCCACAGTCAAGCTTCATTTTTCTTTTCTCTGGCCACTGGGCAAGATAAACCCAAAATACTTGGGGAGGAAATCCCAAATAGATTTGTGCACAAATAAATGCAGAATATATCGCGCAGAAATCAATGCCAGGTCCACTGTTGCAGGAGGAAATTCAGAATATATAGCCAGTCCTCAAGTTACGACGATTGGTTTGGTTTAGTGACCGTTTGAAGTTTACAACAGCACTGAAAAATGTGACTGATGGACGTTTCTCACACGGCTGCTTGAAGCATCCCCAGAGTCACGTGATCAAAATTCGGATGCTTGGCAACTGACTCGTATTTACGACGGTTGCAGCGTCCCCCGGGGTCACGTGATCCCCTTTTGTGACCTCCTGACAAGCAACGGGGGAAGCCAGATTCACTTAACAACCGTGTTGTTAACTTAACAACCGCAGTGATTTGCTAAAACAACTGTGGCAAGGAAGGTCGTAAAACGGGGCAAAATTGACTTAAGAACTATCTCAGCATTTGGGTCTCAACTGCAGTCGTAAGTCGAGGATTCCCTATATTCTGCAGAAATAAATTCAGAATAAACTGCGTCACACAACTTCACTCAAATGTCCCGGATGATGTCTTTGCCCCAGCCTCACCAGGACTGACTCCAAGGAGCCAATAACCTCCAACTAACCAAAGATTCGAAATGTCAGGCAAAAGGCATCCCAGCAGCAGGGTAACACCTTCAGATGCAGGAGCAGTCTACCATTAATCACACACACTACATAGGAGGGAGCGGAGGATGCTTTTACAACTGCAAAACTGAGCCTCCCCTTGCCGGTGCATTCTACCCCTGAATCTCACCTGGTGGGGCAAGATCTGTAATTAAGCATGCTGGAAGTGGAGGACCCTCTGCTTTTCAAAGTAGAAAACCTGAGCCTCCCCTTGATGGTGCATTCTACCACTGAATATCACCAGGAAGGACAGGGGGCCCCATTTAAGCACCCCGAAAGTTGAGGTGTCCTTGCTTTTACTGCCTACTAGACAGCCCCACGGTGAGATCGGCAGCTGATAAATTTAATAAATAATACCGCTGTAGAAGTGAGCCTCCGCTTGCCGGTGCACTCTACCACTGAATATCACCTGATGGGGCAAGGGGCTGTAATTTAGCATCCTGGAAGCGGTTTTACCACCACAAAACTGAGCCTCCTTTGCTGGTACAGTCTACCACTGAGTATCATCTGGCTGGGAAGGGGCTGTGATTAAGAATGCTGACCCCCCCTCCGCCTTTAAATCCCCCCCCCAATACCGAACTGGCCCCTGTGGGAAACCGGAACCTGCTCGTCCCCACCAGAAGCCAGCAAACGGGAGAGGAGAAAGGAGGCCACCCGGTAATCCGAGCGGCCGGTTTTTGTTTTTTTTTCCACCCAGAGACTTCCAAACTCACCTGCGTGAGCAAAAGCGAGCAGGGCAACCAAGAGGAGCCCGCAGGAGAGGCGGAACCGAGGCAGCATCTTCCAACCCAGCCCGGAGCCGAAGAAAACGAGATCCGGAGCAGAAAGCGAAACGAAGCAAAGCGAAGCAAAACTGAAGCGCTCGCCCCAGCAAGAAAAAGCCGCGCTCACATGACCGGCGGCCCCTCCCCGCCTCTTGGCCCTCCTCACTTTGCAGAGGGACGGGCTAGGGGGCAAGGGTTGTGTGTGTGTGTGTGTGTGTGTGTGTACGTGGCAGGGGGCAAGGTGTGTGTGTGGACGTGCTAGGGGCAAGGGATGTGTGTGTATGTGTGTGTGGACGTGCTAGGGGGCAAGGGATGTGTGTGTGTGTGGACATGCTAGGGGGCAAGGGATGTGTGTGTGTGGNCAGGGATGGAGGACCCACGACAACAAAATTAATCAGAAAAATCAAGCCGTGAGAAAAAGGTTAGCCACGTCAGAGAAAGCCACGTTCACACGCTCAGCCGCTGATCTTTAGTAAAAGGCGAACCATTTCCACGACCTGAAGCGGAACTCGGAGAAAAATCTCGGTTCCTCGTTCCGCGAAGTCGGAAAACTTTCTCACCACCAGGGGGCAGCAGCGTCGCGGCGGTAAACTCCCGCCGAGGATCGCTGATGGGGATGTCGAATATTATTATTATTATTATTATTATTATTATTATTATTATTATTATTATTATTATTATTATTATTGTTGTTGTTGTTGTTGTTGTTGTTGTTGTTGTTATTGATCATCGCACAGTCAGCCAGATGTTCAGGCTGGATTTGGCATTTTGTCTACCTATCGAGTCATTATTATTATTATTATTATTATTATTATTATTATTATTATTATTATTATTATTATTATCGTTATTGTTTTGTTATTTATTTCAATTTATGGGCCGCCACCTCCAGGGGACTCCGGATGGCGATCAAAAGGATAAACTTTGACATATCGAATTTAGAGGCGCCCTAAAAAAGATTGCTTATGCAGTGGAGGTGACCCCTCCCCAAGGCGAGAAAGGGGAGGGGGCTTCCAAACAGGGGGGTGCGAGCGGGGTTTCCTACAAACCACCCAGATTTGCATTCAAATAAACCCCGATTCGGCCCAAAGCACTCAGACAGCAAACACAACTCCCCAATCAGTTTTAAACTAGGCTAGTTGATCTATTTGATGCATAATTTATTACATTTATGTGGTCTACTATCTTATATAGTGATGTATCCTATACATATACATATACACACACACATGTACACACACTATACATACATACGTATGTCATGTATGTATGCGTGTCATCTTTCGCTATTGCTACAGCCGTAAATTGGGTGGCTGCCTAAATTTGCTTAATAAATCCATAAATATCCAAAGAAACTACGGACGGCTATACAACATAGTTACATTTTAAGGGAAAAACGTCTAAAAACTCAAGACAGGGATGGACAAACCCAGATTTGGGGTTTAAAAACCCAGCTATGAGTAAACCTGGTCCCAAAGCCAGGTTGGGGACTCTGTTCCCCTTAGGAGGCGAATCTAAAGGGGGGGTTCACTACCTGGATTCGCACCCCGCACTCATCTGCAGACTCAGCGTGTTTGGCTACGCTCCGTACCGGGCGGGTGGGGTCAGTCTATCGGACCTTTAGGGTGTCCAGCCTTGAAAAGTAGGCACGTTGCAGAAAACGGGGTCCCGCTCACCCGCAGAAAGTGGAGGATGGGCGGGGGTCGTGCATGCATTTCCCATCTTTTGCCCCCCAGCAGATCAAGGCCAATCGAATCTGCCGCCCCCCCCCACCCACCTGGTTGACTCCCAGACCGCAAAGCAGGCTGGGAATTGTAGGAAGGCGAGTGTCACCTCCTTGTGAGGCTGGGGGGGGGGGAGGAAGGAGAGCAAGGGTCGATCCTAGCTTGCAGTTTGGGGGAGGGTACCCTGTCTCCCCAAACTTGTTAATTGGGGGGGGCAAAGAGAAGCCACCTCTGCATCTTTTTCCATTAGAAAACCTCGCAAGGAAGCTTAACCTTCCTCCCCCCCCTCCATCCTGCCTGGTGCCCCCCCCCAATTATTTCTCCTACTCCTCCTCTGCTCCTGGCTTCACCTTTGCAAGGTCGCCTCCGCCCATCTGTCCCTGGGGGATCAAGGGAGATTACCATCCAATCTGCCTCTCTACTTTCCTGCTTTAAAACCTGCTGACAGGTTGGCAGATTAAATTTTCTGACCCCCCCTCCCCATCTTCCTCCCTCCTCCATTTTTCTTCCAATTCAGCAGGTCAGCCAGCAACCAGCTGGACTTAGTTTCCCCCCCCCTTCCTCCCCTGTATCCTCGGAGGGCGAGGTGTTTCTGAGCATGCATGGATTGCCCCTCAAATTTCTTTCAATGGCCCAAAAGGATAGGCTCTTATGGAGCATCGCCTTTAGAACACCTGGTCCTAATCTTGACCAGGTAATTAGGAATATATGGCTGGATACTTAAAAATAGAGCCTTGGGTCCCCCCCCCCATTGGATCCTTTCAGCCATTGACAGGAAGATCTATTTCGAGCAGTTGAAATATGTAATTTAGATATTTAAGGAAATGCTGTATCAGTTCTCTGTTACGAAGGAGGCTATAAGTTTTAAAGTCGGATCCGTCAAAAAATTACCTGGAGACATCCAGGAAATTTGCCAAAACTCAAAACTGACTTGAATGAGATTGTACTTTTTCAAAGCTCATTTATAAAGGAGAATTGGGGGGGGGGGCTTATCGAGTGCCAGAGTCTCCTATGATGTTGCTAAGTGAGGAATGTATTTTTACGATGACTATGATCATGATTTATCACTTAATTGCTTTTGTGCACACTGAGAGCTTAGGCACCGCACCGGAGACAAATTTCTTGTGTGTCCAATCACACTTGGCCAATAAAGTATTCTATTCTGTTTTGTTCTGTTCTATTTCATTCCATTATTCTATTCTATTCTATTCTATTCTATTCTATTCTATTCTATTCTATTCTATTCTATTCTATTCTATTCCATTCTATTCTATTCTTATTCTATTCTTATTCTTATTCTATTCTTCATTCCTTCTATTCTATTCTATTCTATTCTATTCTATTCTATTCTATTCTATTCTATTCTTATTCTATTCTTCATTCCTTCTATTCTATTCTATTCTATTCTATTCTATTCTATTCTATTCTATTCTATTCTATTCTATTCTTCATTCCTTCTATTCTATTCTATTCTAATTCTATTCTATTCTATTCTATTCTATTCTATTCTATTCTTATTCTACTCTCTTCATTCCTTCTATTCTATTCTTCATTCCTTGTTATAAATATGTTATAAATAGACGTAAATATGTATGTAAATATATAAATATGTAAATAGTATAAAATGCAATATGTAAACGGTGCAAAAGATCAATGACTAGGAAGATATATGGTATATGGTATATGGTATAGTATGAATGGCAAAATAACAGCCAGAAAAGTCACACTGGGTCCAACCTGTTTTTAAATGTTTACTTAATAAAAATTTAAAAAAGGGAAAAAAAACAGCAACCAGGAGAGATTTGAATAAAAGCGGTCACCGTTTATTGACTAATGCCGCGTTTGGGCCAAGAGACCCTCCCTGTCTCCTAACCCGGGCTGATCCTTTTAATTCTAAACCCTGTTCTCTTTAATTAAAAAAAAGGTTACCCCAGGGGACGGGCGTGCCGATCAGCAGATGCCACCGGGCAAAGAAAAGAACCAATTTGCCATCCTTAGCAGCTCCTCTAATCCCCTCTAATTCAGTTACCAATCTGGAGCGCCTTAAGAGGATTGGGGGCATTTGCTAAATTAGATAAGTAAAAATAACAAATGTCACTAAGTTGGAAGGCTCGGGACGGGTGGGGTGGGGGGCTGAATCTGGAGGGCAGGAGCCGTTTCTAAAAGGTGAGGGCATCACACCCCCCCCAAAAGTGGACGAAAACAGGCCGATGGAAAGCTCTCCATTTTTTAGCTCTGCTGAGAGAAAACCAATTGGGTCTCTTCTTCCTTTTTGTTTTTAACAGAATGCAAATTGCTTTGCGTTAAGGGGATTTAACCGTGGTCTGGAATAGGGGCAGCCATCGGAAGGGGTTAAAATGGCAAAGTCAAGTTTTTGCAGGCTCCTTCTTCGTTTTTTTTGGGGGGGGGGGGATTTGCTGTCTAACAGAAGCTCCTGGACTGAAGAGAAGGCTAAGAATGAATTAGAAGGACAGCTTCTTCACGAGGTCAATTCTGTTCTCTTGTCACTCCAGAGCAAAGGGTGTACGTGACAACTTTTAAGACTTGCGGGCATGTATGGTTGGCTGGGGGATTCTGGGAGTTGAAGTCCACAAGTCTTAAAAGTTGCCAGGTTTGGGCACCCTTGCTCCAGAGCACAGGATTATAGAAGGATGACCGAGATCTAAATGGCCAGCATCTGGATAGTTAGGAAAGTCTTGGGGGATCAGGATCTCAAGAGCTTCTCTTGGGGATGGATGGATGGATGGATGGATGGATGGATGGATGGATGGATGGATAGATAGGTGGGTGTGTGGGTGAATGGATGGGTGGGTATTTTGGTGGATGACACCTACTCCTTGTTCTATTCCTCCAACAAGTCAGTTTGGGGTCAGATGATCAACGGATTCCAAACGTGTGGATTTACTTCATGGAGGAGCCCCATTTTCCTCAGCAGGATCTACTCAAAATGGCGGCCATCACAGCACAATTGAAAGTACTTCGCTGAAGTTAGAGAAGGGCCACCAGCACTCAAGGGGAAATTGGAACTTAGTTCGCTTGTGGCTACGTAAGGATTCTCGGCTGAGTCCTCTCTTAATGCTACCTCAGAATCTTCAGACGTGCCAATCCCGTTAATGTAATCTTACAACAAAGTAGAACTAGTTCATCTGAGTGTGCTTCCTGTCTAGACGAACTCACTGGGCTAGCAGTGGTTGAGTTGAACTCTTAGGGGCGTTGCACGATGTAATCCATCAGAATCTAAACAAACCATGATCCGAATGATACGGGTTCCGTCAACACATCAACACGCTTACTCCCGCCTTGGCATGTGTTGTGCAAAAAATATTAAGCTTGCAGCAGATTTGACCGAGGACACAGTTGTGATCGGTGATCAATCCAGGGCCAAAGAGGATCAATAGCTTTAATTGATGGAGGGCAAAAAGCACCTGGCCAGCTGTCACCCCACATTCAAGCTGTTTCTTGTTTTCAAAAGGGTCTCTATTCCTTGACCCCGAGCCAGATTGACCAACTATTTATATCTCCTTCTGCAGGTTGAATGAAGTCCACTGATAACAGCTTGCATTGCCGGCAGGAAAAATATTACACAATTTAAGCTGCTGTTTAAGGCACACCTGGCTGTTATTCTAACAAATTGGCAAACCTGTCTGTCCAGACCTGAATTGATTGTGATTTCCTGCCTTAAGCCCTGCATTTTATTAGATTTAAACTAGCTTGCAAAGCGTTGGTTGCAGACCAGATAAAATTCCACTACAGGCAAGTCCTTGACTTACAACCACAATTGGGGAGCAGAATCTCTGTGGGCTAAGCAAGACAGTTGTTAAGTGGGTCACACCCAATTTTACCTTTCTTGTCGCAGTTGTTCCGTGAATCACTGCAGCCGTTAAGCAAATCCATTTTTACCCCCTTGTCAGGAGCTAGCTGGGAAGGTCACAAATAGTGATCACACGATGCTGGGATGCTGCAACTGTCAAAAATACACACCCGTTGCCAAGCGTGCCAATTTCGATCACGTGACTGGTAGGACGCTGCGACAGTTGTTAAGTGTGAGGATCGATTGCAAAGTCACTTTTTTCAGCGCCGTTGTGAGTTTCAACGGTCACCAAACGAACGGTGGTCATTCAAAATGCAACCATACTGGGTTTTTTTTAATCATGTACTTATCCCAATTACAGAACCAATTGTTTTGACCCGGAATTAAAATGGCAACAACGCCCCACACACAAAACCATTCTTGCTTTGAATAGATTTCGATGCGTTGTTGGTTTTTTTAAACATTTTAATATTTTTTGCTTTTTTTTTCTTAAATCCACCAACAATTTGATGTAACTGCACAGGAAACCGCTTGCCACAGACTAAGACAATAATAAATAGAGATCCATCCACAAAAATAATTTGAATGAAATGTTTCTCATCTACAGCCAAAGCAACAGTTGTTTCTTTTGTTAAAAAAAATGACTAAGATAACTAAACTAAAAAAAAATAAAAATCTAACACCAAGCATTTATTTTAAATTGGAGAGTCCAGTTCTTAAATGCGTTGGAGAGAAGTAAAAATAGCCATATTATATATATTAAACACTTATCACTGTTTTTTACCTGTACAGTTTAATAAAATACAGCTTGGATAAATGAAGCCATATGTAGAAAATGTTAGGTTTCTCCATTTATTTAATTTCAGCTTGCTGTCCTCTTTGTCACTTTAGACCCCATGTTAAACAAAATGGCTAGCAAAAGAGGTTTCATTGCCGTTTAAAATTCTAAAGGATTCATGTGATGGCTATAAAATACAAAAAATTTCCCTCCAGTTTAGTTGTGGGTCAAAAATGATTTGATGGGATTGTACTATAAAATGTAGACTCCTATTTTAATCAACATTGGATTCAAATTGTGTGAAATTAGCAAAATGTTTCACCTGCAGATGAAAACCACAATTAAAAAGATGGTTTGACAAGTTGACCATTTGCTATCCCTTCCAGCAACTTATTTTAGATTTTTAAAAAAATTTCTGATGGAACTTTTACTGGACTTTTATACATACATATATATATATATATATAAATTGGGGAGGGGGAAAAATCATCAAAGGGTTTCCTACGTAAAAAGATGCTTTGACAAGCTGACAATTACTCTCCTTCCACAAACTTTTTTCAAGGGCACACGTGCTTGTTTTAGATTTTTTTTATTTTTATTTTTGATGGAAGTCTTATTAGGGTTTTTTTCTTTGTTGTTTTTTTTTTATACAAAATTTGGGACAAGGGAAAAAATCATCAAAGTGTTTCCTATTTAAGAAGACATTCTGACAACCTGACAATTATTCTCCTTCCACCTTTTTTTTTTAAGGATGCCTCTGCTGTCTTATTTTATCGTTTTTCAAAATTCATTTAGAACTTTTATTAGGTGTGTGGTTTTTTGTTTTGTTTTTTACAAAAATTGGGGAGAGCGTTTCCTACGTAAAAAGACATTTTAACAAGCTGACAATTACTCTCCTTCCACCAAAACTTTTTTCAAGGGTGCACATGCTGACTTACAATTTTTTTAAAAAATGGATAGAACATTGATTAATTATTATTATTTTTTACAGAGGGAAGAATCATCCAAGTGAGATCCCTGCCTTAATAAAAAGCCGAGAAATTCTGCATTGGTTTTTCATTCACAATTCAAAAGGCTTCTGCTTCAAGTCGCTTAATTTTACTTAATTTCCCCACCTAAAAGGCTTTAAAAATTCCCATTAATCTCCGCAGGGACAAAATGTTAAGAGTTGGCCTTGGAATTTCATTGGGTCCAGCATCCCGTTTGTCAAAGGGAATACTGAGATATTGAAATCTGGAGGCCACTCAAAAGTTTTTGAAAAGCATATCGTGCACTGGGTGGAAAAACAAAAATCTGGAGGCCTTCATACACCCATCTGATCTGTCCAGGTCCAAAGTTTTATCTATCTAAATACTCTCAGCTTTTCTGTTTTAACCTCTCCAACTAAACCTATTGCTATTTTTTTAGGGGGGGGGGAGTTGGGAAAATAGGAAAGCCACAGAGGGATAGTTGGAACTTTCTTACAGGTGTCCGAGAATGAAATTAGATGGATTGATCCTGGGGTGTCATTCCTCTGCAGATTGAGATGGTCGATTAAACAAAAGCTACTTTTAATTCCTTGGCCAAGGTAAGCTTCTTAGCTTTTCAGTGTAGTTGTTTGCACAAAGAAGAAACCAGGTAATAAAGGATGAAGGCTACAAAGACCTCATAATGGAGAAAAGCACTACCAGATAGACTTTGGGGAGGAGACTAAGATGGATGCTGTTGGCTACTGCTGGAAGTAGCAGAGACGTTTGGACCAGACTCTGCTCCTGGGGGGAGGGTCGCTGAGATGTGTGGCAGACCCTCAAGAGACGTCTCCATAGCTTGGGACTCTTGCTTTCAAGGGTGGGCTTTCTCCTCCTGTTCGAACGAGCCTCATGGGTCAAGGAGACAACTTGGATCAGGTTCTCGGAAGAGTGCTTAAGTAGGAACTCAACAACTGGCTCTTGTGTAAAACTCTACGTTGAGCTAATAAAAATGGAAAAAATCCTACCCCCTCCCAAAAAATGCCAAAGGCCATCAGGAGCCTGGTCAACTCAAAAGTCCCCCCCCCAAAGTTCTCTCAGAAGCTGCTCTTGCAGAAACTCAGGTGAGGACGAAGAGATGGAAGAGATGGTTTGACCAACCCTAGCGAACGGTCAACTCCTGCAAAATTGGTTTCTTCCTGCTCAGTGATGGCTTCTTTGATGAGTCCGTTGGATACGTCACCTGGGTTGCTCACCCTAGTAGTGCTAAATTCCCGGAAGGTCCTGACTGATCTTCACAGCGGCTGTTGACTCGAGTGGAATCCAGAAAGAGGTCCCTCTCCCCAGTCGGGGCTTCAGCTCTTCCAGAAGTCTAAAGCGTCAGTTCAGCTGAGTTGGGGTGCTGAAGGGTTCAGAGCCCCAAGTCCCGATTGATTGAAAGCAGTTTCGTGTCCCAGCCTGGGCTCTCAACTTCTCCAATTCAACCTCTTAAGCCGTTGGCTTCCCCAAGCATGGTCGAAAAAGCAAGCGGTGGCAGATGTTTGGATAGGCAGGACCGAGGGGAAAGGAAAAGACGAGAAGATCAAGCAAAGAGGCAGAATAAAATGGACGGGAGAGGGGTTGCCCTCCCCCGCCCCCCGAGACAACGGTCAAGGAAAACGAGGGGTCCCCAGGACCGCCTTTCACAAGACCTGGAACTTCCAAGAGCTTTGATCTTTGTAATCCAAGCAATCGGCAGCATTGAAGTTGAGCTTCCAGGAGGCCGTGGGGTCTTTGTAGTCGAGGCAATCCACCGAGCTGAAGCTCATGCCTGCCCCGCTGTAGCCCTGGCTGGAGAGGGTGGCCGGGGACTGGCTCAGGTGGCCGCCCATGGTTGGGGTGGCCAGGGGGCTCAGCGCGGCACCAGGTGCGGAGAGCTGAGGGTGCATGGGGGACAGGTAGGAGCTGCAGTCAAGGCTACTGAAGTAGGAAGTCGAGCCGGCGTAGGTCTGGGTGTAACCCGGTGCCTGGGTGTAGGTCATGGGGAAGGCGGCCGACCGTTGCATGCAGGGGGTGGTGGAGGAGGCCAGGGGGTCTGGCAGCGGAGAGATGGAGGCCGGGCTCCAGATGGAGACGGTGGCGCTGGCGCTGGAGCTGGGGGCCACCGAGGTGCCGGTGGGCAGAGGGCTGTACTGCCCGTTGGCGCTGGTTTCGGAACTGGTCTCAGGGGCTGGAGAGCTTTTTTTCTTGGCCGGCCGGGCTTTGGCCTGTCCGCTGCTCTGCTGTTGCTGCTGCCGACATTTGGCCCGGCGGTTCTTGAACCAGACCTGGAAGAAAGGAGAGAGCAAGGTGTGCAGGGCGGAACTGAAAAGAAGGGTCAATGTTTCCCTCTGGGCGGAGGAGGCATTTAAATGCGACTCAAGGCAGATCGAAGTCTGGAAATGTTATTGGCTGGTCTTCCCTTCTTCTTTTTGCAAATAATTCAAAGTCGTGAACCTAATCAACAGACCTTCCTCCTCCTATTATCCCCACAATAACAAGCTTGTGGGGCAGGTTAGGCTGAGAGGGACTAGAACTCACCATCGCCTGGCGATTGGACCAAATTCACCCAACCAGCTTTATGACTAAGGCAGAACTAGAACTCACAGTCACCTGGTGATTGGCCCAAATTCCCCCAGCCGGCTTTTATGCCTAAGGCAGGACTAGAATTCACAGTCACCTGGTGATTGGCCCAAATTCCCCCAGCTGGCTTTCATGCCTAAGGCAGAACTAGAACTCACAGTCGCCTGGTGATTGGCCCAAATTCACCCAGCCGGCTTTCATGCCTAAGGTGGAACTAGAACTCACATTCGACTCGTGATTGGCCCAAATTCACCCAGCTGGCTTTTATGCCTAAGGCAAGACTAGAATTCACAGTCGCCTGGTGATTGGCCCAAAGTCACCCAGCTGGCTTTCATGCGTAAGGTGGAACTAGAACTCCCCATCTCCCACATTCTAACCTGGTGCCTTAACCACTAGACCAAACTGGCTCTCAGGGGACAATCAGCAAGGAAGATCAGGAATCTATTTCTCTTGGCTGATCATCTTTCTTAAGACCCGAAGTATTTCACCTGTTTTCACAATGAAAGTATTGGGGCTTTGACTGCTACCTGCTACCATCTCATGGACCTACCATCTGCACGAATCTAGGAAAAAGTACTGGGACTCCTCCATCTACAGCTTCTGTCTGTCTGTCTGTCTACCTACCTACCTACCTCTATCATCTCTTTCTCTGGAAACTAATCAAGGAGAGAACCAGTCTAGAACTAAGGAGAAATTTCCTGGCAGGGAGAACAATTCTTTAGTGGAACAACTTGCCTCCAGAAGTTGTGAGTGCTCCATCACTGGAGGTTTTTAAGAGGAGATTGGACAACCATTTGTCTGGAATAGTACAAGGTTTCCTGCTTGAGCAGGGGGTTGGACTAGATGACCTCCAAGTTCCCTTCCAACACTGTTATTCTGTTATCTTGTTATCCATCCATCTATCTATCTATCTATCTATCTATCTATCTATCTATCTATCTATCTATCTATCTATCTATCTACCTACCTACCTACCTACCTACCTACCTACCTACCTACCTACCTATCATCTATCCATCCATCCATCCATCCATCCACCCACCCACCCACCCACCCACCCACCTATCTATCTATCTATCTATCTATCTATCTATCTATCTATCTATCTATCTATCTATCTATCTATCTATCTATCTATCTATCTATCTATCTATCTATCTATCTATAAATGGAACCATTACGTTTCCAGATAGCCTCAATTTAACACTACGCCAAATTAATTAATTTTCTATGGATCTTGTTTCCATTCTTTCTCTTAGCTTTCAGCTCATCCCAATCGCTATCGCAGACAACTCTTTTGTGGGGCCGTCGCTGCACTTTGTTATACAGCCTTTCACCCACAGATTATACAGTAACGGTAACAAAAACAGGCCAACGCTTTGCAGAAAGCTCACCTGGACTCTGGACTCGGGCAGGTTGATCTTCAGGGCAACCTCTTCGCGCATGAAGATGTCCGGGTAGCGGGTCTTGGCAAACAGGGCCTCCAAGATATCTAGCTGGGCCCGTGTGAAGGTTGTGCGCTCACGTCTCTGCTTCCGTGGAGTTGCTGCAGGGGAAAAAAATGGAACGGAGTCCGGGAAGGATCAAAATGCACGTTCTACCATCAGAACTGGTTCTGGTTCTATCTCCATCGCTCTACACGTCCCACAAAATTCCTCTTCTTGTTGGCCTCCTTTTATCTTCTCAGTTTGGTCATTAATTTCCCTAAATAATACTGGTTAGTGTTTCATTGGCATCCTTGGTGCTCACTGAGCTTGCTTGTTTTTTTGCAGGCTTTTCGTGACCCAACTAGGTAACGTCTTCAGTGCTATAAAAGAGTGAGGTTTGTAAATATAACGCAACCCCCACTCCCTTCTAGCATTGATGATGTTATATAGTTGGGTCATGAAATGTCTGCAAAAAACAACCAAGCTCAGAGAGCACCAAGGACCCTGTAGTCCTCCTCCTCCTCCTCCATGCCACAAGCCCCACTCCTTTCTTGCACTGATGATGTTACCTAGCTGGGTAATGAAACGTCTGCAAGAAAACAACTTAGCTCAGAGAGCACCAAGGACCCCACAGTCTTCTCCTTCTCCTTCTCCTTCTCCTTCTCCCAAACCCCCCTCCCTTCTAGCATTGATGATGTTACCTAAGTGGATCATGAAATGTCTGCAAAAAACAACCAAGCTCAGAGAACGCCAAGGATCCTACAGTCTTCTCCTTCTCCCAAATCCCACTCCCTTCTAGCATTGATGATGTTACCTAAGTGGATCATGAAATATCTGCAAGAAAACCACCTAGCTCAGAGAGCGCCAAGGACTCCACAGTTCAACCCTGACCTACACATAATCCCTTCTAGTATTTCACCTGCTTGATGATTTAAAAGCAGATTAGACCAGCTTCTAAAAAGCAAACTTTAGCCATGATAGTGGTAAGGGAGAGCCAGTTTCATGTTGGGTTAAAGGCACCAAATGAAACACCAGGAAGCCATGGGTTCTAGGGCAGGGGTAAGCAACCTTGGCTCTTTTATGACTCATGGACTTCAACTCCCAGAATTCCTGAGCCAGCATGGCTCAGCTTGGAAACCTCTCCCTTTCCCCTCAGCAAAAAAAGATGATTAAAGACTCCCAGGGCTATAGACAGGCTGAAATTTCTGCACAATAAATTAAAATTAAAGCAACATGGGTCATCTAAGATCTTTACCATTACCCTCTAAGTAGCAAATCTATACGCCATGCATATTAGTGTCTATGGATTATATTAATGATCTTTATTACAGCAGGCTAGCTATCAATAATCAATAGTTGGTTATTGGCAGTTTTTGCTCACTGGATGTAAAATATGAAGAGAAAGTTTTTCTGCTGATTTTTGCTTGTTAATCTTTGCTTTTGATTTAGGAAAGCAGAGAGGGATTTTAAGATGAAGTTAAAAGACTTCAAGTCAACCTGTATAGTTCCATTGATAAACTTTATTGGAAATTCCAGGTACATATAGCGAATTCCTCAGAGGAAGTGTGGGGAAAAAATTATTAAAGGGATGTTTGATTTTTAGAACAGTGAATACAATCATAAAAGCAAGCTGCACAATGGAATAAAGAAATGTGGAGGGCAAATAATTTTAAACAGTATTAAAAAAATTTAAATAACAAATAAACAGTTAAGCATAATTTAGCTGAAACAATCTTGGAATCTTTGTTCCCTTTTTCCTCACTGATTGTTACGGTTTAATTTACTTTAATGCTTCCTTCAAGTTTGCAATTGGTATAGTAAAAAGATAAAGCAGAAAAAAAACCCCAACTCTTGTTCATTATTGCTAATTTAGCCTTAAGTATTTAGCCCCTTTTAAATCCGCATTTCTTTTTATGGAAGTAATGGCAAATTTTGAAGGATGGCTTTAAAATCCAGATTTGAGGGAACCACACTTTTAATATGGTCCTGAACTGTAAAAAAAAAAATCCCACCCGTTGCGGCAGTTTTTATTACAACAAATACATCCTGTGTTGCAGTATTATTCTGTGTCACAAACGATTGCATTCTGCTTTACGAAATGTTGTAAAGGTTTATATTCTGAATTATAAATTGCTTTATGTATTATCGTTTTCTTTTTCTTTTTTCAAGCTAGAAATAGGTGTCTTTAGGCCTAAAGAACTGAGAACCCCTTATAAACAAATAATTTATTATTTTTGGCCGGGAAATTCTGAGAGTTGAAGTCCACACATCTTAAAGTTGCTAAGTTTGGGGGGGAAAAAAACCTGATTTTATTTGCTTACTACTCTAAATATTGTCTCCCAATTTTATTTTCTTTGCGCAGCTTCTACTTCCTCACCAGACGTCCTAGGTGAGAATCAGCCATTATCTCCTTCTTATAATATGGGGAGAGGGGAAGGTTTAAGCAGAACTGTAATTTTTCACCTAAAATCCACAGAAACGAAATGAACTAACCAATGAACAGATTACAGCCATAATACACATTATTGGAAACCCCAGTACAGCTGAAAGAGAAGCAACTTGAGAACAGCTATTTTTATTCTAGCCATCTTCCAACACGAAAAGGAAAACTCTAAAACTCTTCTGCATAATTTTATTTAGAAAAAAAGCGGGTCAGACTTTCTGAAAGAGAAATTTTAAATTTTATTTAAAAAGAAGAAGAAAGCAAATTTCACCATTCCAACTTTGCGCGAACAGAGAAACGGGAGCTTTCTACCTTTTCAAAAGTTATCCTTTATCCCTTCCCCGGAAATATTTTTGATTTTTTATTTCTTATGAAATAAGCCCATGCAGGAGGTTTGAAGGAGGGGATTGTCTGTGAAAATTTACAGGATTTCTTTCCTTAAAAAAAAAAAACCACATTGACTCTCAAAGTCCAGAACATGATAACCCATACAATACTGAAAAACCAAACAAAACAAGATTATTATTTTTTTTAAAAATATGGAAATCCACTTACTGGGGTATCCCACGGCGGAATGCAGTAAATCCATCCCGGGTCCAGCCAAAGTTAACCCATTGACTGCATAATGTGGTTGCTTGATGTAGGACATCATGCTCAGAAAAATGGTGTCCCTAAGTCTTCTCTTTGGCTTTGCAGTCAAGGTGACGCTCCTTCTGGTCTTCAGTGAACTTTGAGAAGATGGCTTTTGGACTTATCCTGGCCACTCAGCATCCAAGGGCAGCTGGAAAAAAAAAAAGACCCAGGGAAAATTGGTGGTCTCCTGCCCCAAAGGGGCCAGTGGTGGACAACAGCCTGGCCAGTGGAGAGCAGAAGACAAGAGAGAGAGACTCTTCCAGTCTTTCAGAAATGGTGGGAAGGTTTGGAGAAGACAAGGGGGTCTTTCTTTCCTGCACAATACAGCCAATGAGATGGGCCTTTTCAAAACTTGACTTTGGGGCCCCACCTTCCAAGCAGCATTTAAACACACACACACACACACACACACACACCTACAGGCAAAGGCACACATGCCTCTCCATCCAGCTTGAAGGAGGAGCCAACAGGGCTGGGGGTTTTTAGCAACTCAAAAGACGAAGCTAATGGGTCCCCAGCAAAGCAATCAACTCCATTCTTTGTGAGTCTATTCTTATTTAAATGAGCAGGTTAAGTCAACTCATTAAATGTTATGGATGCCTCCCCCCCCCCACTTGGTTTTCATTTAAAAAAACCCCTCCCAAAAAAAGCTGGTAGAGAGTCTACAGTATGTGATTTTGCTCTTTCAGGGGGGAAAAAATTGGCACTTAAAACTTGGCAAATGAATTTGTTCACTCCCTCTTCTGGAAAAGTCCAGATTTTATTTTGTCCTGGAGTGATACGAATTACAGAGTATCAGAGCTGGGAGGAACCTTGGAGGTCCTCTAGTCCAACCCCCTGCTCAAGCAGGATACCCTATACCATTTTAGGGACAAAAGGCTTATCCAATCTCTTCTTGCAAACCTCCTTAACTGTTAACTGACTTGAGTCTAGAGCAACAGGCTTGCATGCATATGAAAATAAAGCAGGATAGTCCCCTTTACACTGGGACTGAGTTCAATGCCTACCTTACAGGATTGTTCTCAGCCTGGCTGAGATGATAAACAGGCAGATAACTTGAAAATGCTGGCTGCATCCAAGCTAAATTCTCATCCTTGGTTGACGTGTATATAGATTTGAATCCATTCAAGGCTAAATTTGGAGCAGGGCTGTTTAAAACTCTGCTACTTACTGTTCGGACTAGGCTGAGCATACGCAGAGTGTTTTCTCTTACAGTCTCTTTAATAATGGCACCACCTGAGATCAGATCCCAAAGTGGCTTGGAAATTAAGATCCAGAACTCTTGGAGTTAATTTCTAAGCTATTCCTTTATACCCCAGTCCATCCTAGCGTCCAATTAAAACTCAACAAACAGCAGAGACATTGTGGAAATCTTGTTTAATAAATGAGTGTAAAGAATTAAGCCTAATTTTTAACACTAGCTTATTATAAGTCTTGCAAGTCTCCTGCCATTTCCTGGTTATTTTTTTTTCTGCTTTAGAAAAGTCACTGGGGGGGGGAGGGACAAGGAAAATAACGGGCACATTTTTCTCCTTTTCCTCCTCCTTTTGGGATTACGAAATATCAGATGTGATGCACAGGAGACCCTGCATCCTAATATCTCTCATTTTGCTTACTCAGTTAACGACTGTTTGGAAGAGGAGAGAGGTGTAAAAACCAGCTTGCTTGCAACAAGAAAGACGAAGATCGCGTAAAACAAAACCATCCTAATCATCACGCAATTTTTTCTGCCTTGCAGTTCAGAAGGGATGGATTGTGTGTTGGGAGGGGGGGGGGGAAATCCTGCAAGTGAGTCACCAAAAGATTTGAAGAGAATAAACCAGTCATCAGAGTGTTAGATTTTAAAATCGGGAAACCAGAATTATCTTAGTAAAAAATAAATAAAAATGAGTTCAAGCTGATAAGACGGGATGGTCCAAAAATATAGGCTAGCCAAAAATAGCCATAAAGGAAAACTTCTGTCATCTAACAGTTTCCAAATTGGCTCGCTCTGTCTGTCTGTCTGTCTAGCTAGCTATCTTCTACTTATCATCTATCCATCCTCCATCCACTCATCCATCCATCTCTCTCTCTATCATCAATCATCTATCTATCTATCTATCTATCTATCTATCTATCTATCTATCTATCTATCTATCTATCTATCTATCTATCTATCTATCTATCTATCATCTTTTACTTATCATCTATCCATCCTCCATCCACTCATCCATCCATCTTTCTCTATCATCAATCATCTATCTATCATCTATCTATCTATCTATCTATCTATCTATCTATCTATCTATCTATCTATCTATCTATCTATCTATCTATCTATCTATCTATCATCTTTTACTTATTATCTATCCATCCTCCAGCCAAATCCATCCATCTCTCTCTCTATCATCAGTCATCTATCTATCTATCTATCTATCTATCTATCTATCTATCTATCTATCTATCTATCTATATCTTTTACTTATCATCTATCCATCCTCCATCCACTCATTCATCTACTCATTTATCCATCCATCCACCTATCATCATATCTATCTATCTATCTATCTATCTATCTATCTATCTATCTATCTATCTATCTATCTATCCTATCTCTATCTATCTCTATCTATCTCTATCTATCTATCTATCTATCCATCCATCCATCCATCCATCCATCTATCTATCCTCTCTCTCTCTCTCTCTCTCTCTCTCTCTCTCTCTCCATCCTCATGTTTTCTGCGCTTCAATTTTCTGTTTTTTCCTTTTCCTTCTCCTTCTCCTTTTGTTTTTAATTCAGTGTGAACACAAGTGGAGCAGGGAGAGAGAAGCTGAAGAGGATGAATCTCCTCCGTGGAAATTGAAGGGAAAGCTGTGAACTTCAGCCTTTGGGGGGGGGGTCTAAATATTTTCTGGATCAGGCTTCCAAATCTACCTGTGCAGCTCCAGAGGAATCAAACAAAAGGATCTGGGGGGATCACGCAAGGCTGAATTTTATAAACAACCCCGGTTTCTCTCCTACATCATTGCAAGCTCTTCTTTCCTCTCCGTTTCCATCTCCCCAATTCATCCCGGAAAGAATTTACACGTCTGTTCAATTTAATCCTCTTTTTTTCCCCTCTCCTCTTTTGTTTGAATGGCTGCTGCTTCCCCCCACCTTCCCTTCTCTCCCTGACCCACCCCTGCCTTGGGTCTTCACCTTGTGAGGTGTCCCACAAAGACCCACCCCGTAGTCTCTCTCCCTTTGGACAGAGCAAATAAACACAACACCCTTACAGTTTCTTCAAGCTTGGGCTGAAAAACTGTGAGGGTTTCCAACCGCTTTCTTTCAATTAACAGCTCGGATTGGGCTGATCAGCCCCAGAAGGAAGAAGGTGGCCCAGCAAAGTGGTAGACTGGCATTTAACTGGTTTTTGACACCTTCCACCCCTGGCTTGGTGGGGAGGCAAACTTGGGGGAGGAAGAGGCCAAATCAGCTTTTCTGGCTCTGTTTCTGTGTCTAAAAAGAACTTTGCAGAAGTTTCAACGTCTTTCTTTCTTTCTTTCTTTCTTTATTTATTTATTTATTTTTTTCTTTCTTTCTTTCTTTTCCTTTCTTTCTTTTCCTTTCTTTCTTTTTCTTTCTTTCTTTCTTCCTTTCTTTTTCTTTTTCTTTCTTTCTTTTTTTCTTTCTTTCTTTTTCTCTTTCTTTTTCCTACCTTCCTCATCTTTCTTTCTTTCTTTCTTTCTTTTTCTTTCTTTCTTTCTTTCTTTTTCTTTCTTTCTTTCTTTTTCTTTCTTTCTTTCTTTCTTTCCTTTCTTTTTCTTTCTTTCTTTCTTTTTCTCTTTCTTTCTTTCTTTTTCCTACCTTCCTCATCTTTCTCTTTCTTTCTTTCTTTCTCTTTCTTTCTTTTTCTTTCTTTCTTTCTTTTTCCTACCTTCCTCATCTTTCTTTCTTTCTTTCTTTCTTTCTTTTTCTTTCTTTCTTTTTCTTTCTTTCTTTCTTTTTCTTTCTTTCTTTCTTTCTTTCTTTTTCTCTTTCTTTTTCCTACCTTCCTCATCTTTCTTTCTTTCTTTCTTTCTTTCTTTCTTTCTTTCTTTAAAAAAAGATTTTTGCATAAGGGACATTTGAGTGCCTTTGTTCTCTTCAATTAAGATTGGGGGAAAGGAGGTGGCTTTCACAGACAGCTGACAGTCACTTTGTGAAGAGGACTTTACAAAACTTCAAAACGTTTTAAGTTTTTTTCTCCCTAATTATTACATCGTAAGCCACCCAAAGACGTTGTAAATTGAATGAAGACGTTATACGTCTCTTTATTTGTACCCCATCTTTTATTATTTTTTTACAAATAACTCCAGGTGGCGAACATATCCAGCATGCCTCCCGCCTCCTATTTTCCCCACCACAACAACCTTGTGAGGTGGGTTGGGTTGGGAGGGAGAGACTGGCCCAGCTGACTTTCATGGCTAAGGCAGGATTTGAACTCACAGTCTCCTGCTTTCTAACCTGGTGCTTTTTAACCGCTAGACCAGATTGGCTCTCTTAAAAATAAGAAATTTATTTATTTATTCATTCATTCATTCATTTAATGTCAAATTGGCTCTCTTAAAAATAAATTTATTTATTTATTTAATGTATGGTGTCTACAGAGGTCTTGCATGATATATAAATTTAGTTTAAATAAAGTGGTATAGGCTTTCCTGCCTGAGCAGGGGGTTGGACTAGATGACCTCCAAGGTCCCTTCCAACTTTATTATTATTATTATTATTATTATTATTATTATTATTATTATTATTATTATTATTATTATTATTATTATTATTATTATTATTATTATTATTATGTATATGTACATCTACATCTATACTGGTATGTATGATGTGGACAATAACAATATAGGAGATAAAATATTAAATCAAGATAAAACCCTACTAAAATCACCACCATGATATGGAGCCATAGAGTTGCAATGGGATGGATGTTATAATTTGATGTCAAGGGAAGCTAACCATTATTCTAACTGCTTCTGGTGTGGCTGTCATGAGATAAATAGGGAATG